CTCCAGGAAAGGCTACTTCCAAAGTCGAGGATTTGCCACACTGAATGCTGGTCGCACACAACAAGCAGGCCGAAACCCAAAGAACCACAGACACAGGTAGGTTAGAGATTATGATGCACTTCCATCTCTCCTAGAGCTAAACACCCCTCCATCCTGGATGAAGGAATGTCACTGGGACCCAATGCCCAGTCGTCCATGTCTGTGGCCTACTTGAAAATGCCGATACCAACACCGAGCAGTTACCTCCCCTTTGGGGGCTAGGTTTTTCACCTCCCAGGACGAGGCTACTTCCAAAGTCGAGGATATGCCTCACAAAATGTCAGTCGAACACAACAGGTAGGACGAGCCCGAAGAACTCAAGTCACAACCACAGTTACAGGTAGGTGAGGAGAGGCGGAATTAACGGCGTCACTGAGAGCTAAACACCCCCCCCCCCCACCCTGAATGGAGGGAGTGTCACTGGAGGCTCCCCCTAAGGGGCTGGCCTTACCAGTCGTCCATAACTGTGGCCTACCTGAAGTACCGGGTCAAACACCGGGCAATTACCTCCCCTCTGGGAGAGCTAGGGTCCGCGTGGTCGCCCAGGCCACGAACCCACGCAAGCGTGGGCCCCATGCGGGCATGTGAATAGTGTATGTGTGAATAGTGTAATATGACAAGAAATATAGTTCCTTGGCCTCGCAAATCGGTCAAAATTATTTTTCGTCATACTGCAGAAAAACAGCCGTTTTAATGCATGCGTTGTGGGTCTATAGTAGCATTTTTACTCTCTAGGGAGTAAAAATAATTTTTAGTCTCTAGAGAGTAAAAATCACCTGTTGTAAACAGTTGTAAATTTCGATCGTGGCAATGGTATTGATTTATTAATTGATTTATTTTTTTTTTTAGGTAAGGTATCAGCCTATTGTTGTAAATTGCTCGACATATCGATGGTATAATGTACTCTAACACAATCGTAATAGACTAAATGATTGAATCACTAAACAGCTGCTCATTTGCATTAGCAGAATTGAAGACAAGCTGGAAGTCCTTGTGAGACTAGCTTTGTTTGCTAATTAATTATATGACAAAAAATATTGTTTAACAAACGGGCAAAAAATTTTAAGCCTCGCCCATTTTCCGATCTCGGGTCAAAAAGAGTCACTTTAGCCCCTAGTATGAAATATACTATTTTATCCCTCACTCATTATTTGAAGTTACTGTAAACTTGAAGTTAAACTTGAGCTCGGGTTGAAAATACTCACTTAGCCGTAGTGATGGAATGTCCTTTAATGTGATACAAACAGTAAACAATTCATCGCGAAAAGTGCTCTTGCTCCGACCTAGTAATATCTTTCAAACCCACTCTACTGCGACAAGAGTTGCCACTCTGTAACTCTACAGGGTGTCACTCTCATACTGGACTATTTACAATGACAACTGACCAGTAATTATAATTGTTGTCACAATGCAACTACCAATAATGAAACCACGAATATTATTTCCCGAAGTCCCCACTCATAACTTTGAAGCCCTTTGACAAAGGCTTAGATAAAATATTGGGGCGACATGCCTATGACACTACTAAGTGTACTATCGGCAACTATCTTGAGTTAAATTTATTGTTAATTATTAGAAGATCTTTGCACGAGACCAACACCTAATCTTACATATTAAAATGCAAACATGTTTCTTGTAAACTTTTTTTCTCAGCTCGTGTGCATCACAGGAAACCCCTACGCATGCTGTTAGAAAGATATTTTCCTGTAGGTGTGCAGAATCCCTTTACAAATTAAAATAGGCTCAAAAATAAGCACAAAAAGGATTTAAAATTTAAAAAGATTAACATTGGCCCTATGGGTTGCCATGCTGGTGACGAAATCTTCCTACGAATCGTACTTAAATAATTTTCATTGAAATGGCGACCAACAAAGTATGTAGCATTGGCGAAATGACGGGTTTTGAACATAGTGTAAATATCAACTTGACCTGACTCTCGCCAGAAGACCAAGGATTCAGTGATGACACCGTCCTCTCAAGCCTACCAATGAACAGTGTAATACACTTCTCAACATTAAATTTAAATCATCCTTTCTTGCCATAACACACTAATATAAGACATACATGGACAAACAAAACAGAAACATCTAACTACAAATATTACTTAATAATTCGTGGACACTATGAAACGCTCCTGAAGTAAATAATTCTTAAGTCCCCTCCCAAAACGTACCTGGAAAATTTTGATCTTTAGACAGTCCCATTCTAGGTTTGATAGCAGTGGTGAATATTTCTTTCAAAAGAGTAGCTCTGCGTATTGGAATGAAAAACTCGGTCTTTGACGGAACGAGTAGTTGATTGTGTTTCTAAGTGAAATAGATGTGTATTTTTTTATTAAGAACATTGGGGTTTCAAAAATGTGTATGCAGGGAAATGTTAATAGGCAATATTTACAAAAGGTTTTCCTACAAGACTGAAGCCTCTCTAGTTCAAAGATAATTCTAACTACACGCTCTTGAAGGGTGAATATGTATTTAATTTGAGTCTTTTCAGATCCTCAAATGGGTAAATCCTATAGGGTAAAATGTTTATTTAGGGTAAAACCCTCATCATCTAATTAGCGTAAAAACGTGTTAGTGTGGAAATATAATTTATATGGATTCCATATAATATGGAAGAAGATAGCTTACTTGCCAATTACAATTTATGATCTTAGAAATTAAACGTGCATCAATAGTAAGGCCGAGAAGTTGGTAGCATCGAACGTAGAAATAGTATCATCAGAAATTAGTAGATTTGAAACGACATCTTTTTCATTATTGTTGGAATAATTCATCATATTATTCTTCCTAGTATTGACAAGGAATTCATCGGCATCAAACCATTGCAGCAGGGTATTTGATTCAATAAAAGTGTCAATCTCAAGATGATCAGTTCTATCTGAAGTTACAAGAAAAAGTGTGATCAGCATGAATACAAACCACCGTCATTTATTCTGCCTGTATCATTAATAAAAAGAATAAAAAGTATGGGACCCAGAACAGAGCCTTGAGGAACTCCCATGTTAATAGTTGCCACATCTGAATAAACCCTTTGTAGACATTTAACGTTATGAAGTGGGTCAATTCCACTTGCCTGAGGTAAGAAGAGAACCAGTCTTATATTGAGCACAGCTCGGTTATCACTAAGAAGTCCTGAAGTGGAGTTCCATCTCTGAAATTAACATGGGATGCATATCACCTGAACAACTGAAATCCAATACTCTCTCATTGTGTAACCTCAAATTTCACCTTATAAAACTCATACGAAGATCCAATACTGCGACGTATTGACGATTTATTTGATTTTAATCGTACATAATTTGATTTAGGTTAAGTTGCTTGCCTTGAGGCTACATTTCATACATAAGTGTGAAAGTGACAGATTTGATTCCTAGGAATATACAAATAAGATGTAAAACTGTTTGGACAACTAACTTAATGAACTTATTTGTAATAGAGTCACATAAAATGCAAAAACGTGAACCTGTTCAAATTATAAAGTTCTAAATTGGATGTTTTTAACATCATTGGCATATTTTTCACATTCTTTCTGCGAGGGAATGGTCCAAACCCTGGTCTTGTTACGATCAAGGTTGACCCCGTCAGAGAGCATAAAATAAATGATAGCCCATTGACAAATTTCGTTTGCATCCAAAAACGATCTCTTTTGGAATCGAACCAGCGACCTTCAGATTTAAAGTCATTCACGTTAACAACTTCGCTACGTAGACACGGTCATCAAGAATTTTCCATGAGTTACATTTACGTTTAATCTACTTAATTTAAGGAACATTAAATATAAGGCATATTGAAAAAATTGAACTTATTTCCCTAACGTCTAACGTTATTTGCTACAAATAAAAATTCAAAAAGATATCACATTTAATATATTTTTAGTAATTATGAGTATTTCTATTTTTGAGGAGTATATCTTTTTCTACATATTTTAAATTTAATGTTACTTCAATCACAATTGCTATAGAAGTTTTTCAATTGAAATAGTTTAATGGTGCTTGGTTAACGAGAAGAATCTCATTTGCTTATAGTGACTCATACTCTGATGATTCAACATGTACTTATGATTCACATTGTTGACATTTATAGCCAAGGTTATTGTCTCTCAGTTACCTTTTTGAATTTGTCTTTTAATTTTGTATAAAATCAAACCAACTCCACTAAATGTATGTACGATTGAATATGAACTCGTTGTTTGTTCAATTTCTTTTACCGTTAATTCAAAACAGTTTCTAATATTTTTTGTATTTTTAAGTAACTACTTTTTAGATTCAAGCCGATATTCTTAAACGTCTCCAGCGATTCTGGTTAAAATTTAGTACGTGTTGGTCCTTTGGACTCTGATCAAAATGATATAACCCCATTGCTGTAAAAATTAAGGTTCAAAATTTATTGCAATTTTTGTGATTTTACCCGTAAAATATCATAGTTACTTTCACCACATACCCATTCATTATACGGGGTTAAAACATGGTAATGGGAGAAAGTATATGTCAGTTTGCTGATACTGTAATATCACATACGTCTTACAAGTGTTATTCTTAAGTGTTATTACACATATGTTTTATTTATTTCCGTAAAAAATGTTAATTTGCAAGACTAATATCATCAGTTGCAAAATAATCACACAATCAACAAAGGTATATTTAGGTACGTTTTAGTTGCCAATTATAATAAAATAAACTTATATTGTTACATTGTTTTGATCAGCTGTTAGAGCAGCTGTTATAGAAGGTACCAACCATGGGGCCCCCATCGACTTACACCTGTGATAGTGTAACAATAGCTATCAATTATTGCTTATCAGACCGTACCTTGAGACACCTGGTAGCATAGAGTACTCTAGTGTGACGCTGCCTACAGTTCAACTAACATCTGTCTTAGTGTAAAACTGTTCAACTAACATCACTGTCTTGTAAAACTGTGTCGAACAAATACAAAACAGTGCTTCTTAAACTTACTCTAGATAAACATAAAATCAGTGAGAGTGTGTGGATAAATTGTTTATGTGTACTCTTCATCCAGTGAATATTTTGGATTAGTTTTAACAGCTGTTTACAAGTGAGTTTGATAGTTTGTTTACCAATTGTATATTTTTAATTTTTATTTTGATATTGATGTATTTTAGAACATTAGGCCTATGTGGTTTTATAACTATATTCTACGAACTAATTTGGTATTCCACCACTATGTATGTATATTACCAATTGTTGATATAATGATACATTGGTGATAGTGATATTGAGGACACGATTGAGGTTGCTTTTGCTTAACCTTAATTTAAGAGAGGGATGAGTGTGGAATTCAATTTGAAGACCAGCTGCCCCTTAACCAGGGCCATTTATTAAAGCCCAATACCAAAAAGCTTTCTCAAAAAGTCTTTGCTTATCTTCTTTGTAACTCCTACAAAATACCATAGGTGTAGACGGTTTAAAAAAACGGTTCAGCTTTAAACAATCAAAAATATAACAGCTTTTCAAAATTGTAATCACAGAACATTTTGATTATAAGTCGAATACTATACACTTAATTACAAGCTTTATATTTTACTGTTATTATTTCAATTTCATATTTTACATTCTTGCTATTTCTTGACACATACAATTGTTTTTTTACTGTTAACAGCAGTATACTTATTTAGAACCATCACCCTACTTGTTGAGCTTTTATGAGAATTCTTCTCTTATATTATAAAAAGGCATATTTCTTTGTGCTATAGTTTGACTCCTTTTAGTGTGTTAGGCCTATATTTTACTATTGAATTGTAATGTTTCATCTTACTATTATTATAATTCAAACACTGCATGTAATGGTAATATATTACAATTTCAAATTCTGGAAAATTTACGTTTATCAATGCAGCCATTGTGATGTTACAGCATAAATCTATCCCAAAATTATTTATTTATTCATAGAATAACAGTATAGCTTGTTCTCACCAAATTTACAAAGATTTCAGCAAAATACGCCGAATACCTATAAACTACGAATAATAATTTTCTTAAGAGAAAAAGTACCGTTTGCATTATATTAAATAGCTATTTAACCTAATGAAAATCATACTTTTTCCCTTTTAAGATTTTGACAACCGATTTAAGGGATCGAAGGATCTGATTTCTAATTTAATCTGATTTAAGGATTGGGGGAAGTTTCAAACAATGACAGTTCTCAGGATAAAATCAGCAACCTTTTGATTCCAAGGCGAGCACTATGAAAAACAGTGTAGGAGATTCACTCAACAAAACAGCTACTTATATTTACTGATTTGTTCCAAGTTAGGTTTATGGTTATAGAACATCTTTTATGGTTTTGTTTTATTCCTTAACCCTTAGACCATCCCACCGTCCATCTTCTTCTAAAAGGTATTTCCAATGGCAACTAAATCTTGCATCCTAGTCTTATTTTCTTTCACTTAACACTATCATTATCAGTGGGGGTTCAATACCTTGAGGGGGGGGGGGTACCAAGGGGTTTGAGGTCTCCCAAGAATGGAGGGGATTCAGGATGACCTCCCCATTAAAGATTTGGTATTTTTAAAGCTGTTTGGTGGCTTTCTAAAGCAATTTTTTACGTCTGGAAAAAAATCTGTTAGACTTTAAGAAGAAATGTATGTCTAAATTTATTTTCCCAGAGTCCAATTGGGCTTTAGCCCCTATAGCCCCTTGCAACCGCCATTGGTCCTAATTGTAATTTCTTTGATCCCACCTCATCCCCCCAAACAATAATTAACTTTCGACTGTATACTTGTGATGTTTCTAGAGTCATGGGGGACCAGCGGGTGGAGCGAAGGCTGGTTTACTCCCGACCACAATGGGCCAGCTTCCAGACCAACGGAGGAGTTCCCCGGTCTCCCCCACCCCCCACCACACCACCTCCTCATTCCCCACCACCCGCCAACAGTCAGCGACCAACACTCAACCCTGAGCAAATCTGCGATCTAGTCTGTAAGGTGAGCTCACCCAATGATGCTAAAAGGAGTTTATAGGGGTGGATTTTAACTGAATTACCCAAAGAAAAAACATTGTACTTACAGGTATTTCTTCTCAATCTGTAAGTCCTGCAGGGTGGGCATTAACTGCGCCAACTGAACTGATTCAGGTAGTTGGGTATTTCTGAATTGCGCCAACTACTCCAGGGAGCCACCCAATAAGTTCTTTAACCAAGCCAAGTGGCGGCCATCTTTGACTGTATATTTGAATAGGTTAGGTTAGGTTAGGATAGGATAGGATAGGTTGGATTAGGTTACGTTAGGTTAGTATGACACAAAAACAAGGACATCCCTACTGAGGACAACTCACTCCTACCTGGCATGGGCTTGGTGCAACTAAGAAACCTTTTTAAGGGCCCTTTGAGAGCTTTGGCGCAATAAGGAACTCTTTGGCGCAATTAATTCACGACCATCCTACAAACGACTTATTTTTTCTCAGATAAGCTGGTTGAACTCTATCCATTTCTAAAGTAACTCAGTCCACCACATATCTGTTCCTGAAAATGTTTTATCAATAAATTCTGCTCAATAATACCTGCGAATCCATAAAGTAATTGTTTAAGTTAAAACTCATCACTATAAATTAATTTTTACTTAGTTTTAGACCAAGAACGATTGCTAGAAAATTTTGGGGAAAATGTAGGGTCAATATTACGCATGTTTGGATGATTCACTTTCATACAAGTCATGTTGGAAAAAATATTTGCAAACCGTAAACAATTCTTTATCATCAAGCTTTTTGCCGTTGTAACTTTAATTATCTGAAATACTAGCAATGCATATTTAATAGCTTCAGTGTGGTAAAAAATACTATTACTTATAACGAGACTTTCAAGCTATTTAATTGACTTGAGTGTGAGTGTGGATTATCTTGTGTTGTTTTAGTTGGAAAATATCATACCTAGATGTCATGATGCGCTTATTGAAAACATGTATATCTCAACAGTCACAGGTTCAAGGGGGGCTACAAAAGGATAGAGCCCTCCTGGAAAATTGGTTTAAACATACGTTTTGTCCTAAAACCTAACAGAGGTTTTTGGATATGGCTGTAGAAAGTTACCAAACTGATTGAAAATACAAAATTTTACAGGGGACCCCCCCAACATTCTAGAACCTCCACTGGCTTTTTAAACAATGGTTTCATAACTCGAAGCAGAATAACTTATGGAGTAACAGTGGGTGTTGCAAAATGGAATGCTAATATATTCCAAGTGTTGTGACCTCAAAGAGAAACATTTGATATGCTACTTGACTCCTTTATCCTTTAGCACTGAACAAATTGTATAATATGCCCTTCAGGCTTCTCTGTAACAAGCTAAATTCAGATGTCCAAACTTAACTTAGTAATATCCATGATAACTTGGTATATAATAAATCAAATTGCCAAATTCAATTGAAATTCTTTCTATATCCATAAACAATCAAAGTAGGCCTTCAACAATTTATTTATTCTCCATAGGAATCACATGAAGATTTCTAATTTAAACCTTTTGGAACTTTCTTCGTAACTATCAGGCATACAACAACTCTTTGACATACCATATTAAGTTAATTCCCTTTTAACGCCTTCTCTTAAAAACATTTGCGTATCTTCAAACAAAATACTTTATCCGGCAAGGAAAAAATTTTAAAAAGTTATTATATAGATGAATTTGATCTGCGGGTGTTTTTGGCCTCTGGTGGTCTCATAACGAAGAAGTTAATCGGTCCCGAGTGCAGGTCTTGCCATGAGTACTACGGTAATAGCTTATTCCCTGTATGGGAAATTCGCTAAACGAATCTCTTTCAAAGATAATGTACTAGTGCGATATGAGTAGAGTAGGCAGTTTCCTCACGTTTATATAGAATATCTAATATTTGAACTAAGTGATTGTAGTGTTATGACATGTCTCATGATAGGTTACTCAGTTCGTTCTTTATTGTGAAAATTCTAGTACCTTACAGTGGTTTCATGAATTATTTTAAAATTTTTAGTTTGGGCCCATGGAAGTTTTAATAACTTATTAGCTATCTGTTCTTTAATTATTATTTGTGTATCTATACGTCTTTCATGGACCTCCATCTGAATGTTCTATTGTGTATGGGGGGGGGGTACGTAATAAACCTCAGTAAAAATGATCGTCTTATAGGTTCTTTAGAAAATTATTAAAATGTTTGGTTTAAACCTAAATTTGCTTTGTAAAATTTTCAAGTTTGAGTTTTGAGTGGATACCAAAAACGTGGTTTTCGAAATTATGCCTGTGTGTGTGGATGTGACATAAGAGCTACAGACCACACCTGTAGTACGATTTTGATGAAATTTTGTATGTATCCATGAGTTTTAGCGAATTTCCCATATAGGGAATAAGCTATTACCGTAGTACTCATGGTAAGACCTGGACGCGGGACCGATTTTTTTTTTCATTTTGAGGTCCCTAGAGGCCAAAAACACCATCCGTTCAAATTCATATATATATATATATATATATATATATATATATTTATATATTTATATATATATATGTGTCCGTTAGCACGATAACTCGAGCAAAAATGATCCGATTTTGATGAAATTTGGTACAAACGTGTAAACCTACGTTTATTCGAACGAGTTCGAGATCCAGCATGATCGGACCATGGGAACGGGGGTTTACGGGGGGTTTTATGGGGTAAAAATAGGTTTTTCCCATTTTTGACCCAAAAAACATAAAATTTAGCAATTTCTTTCCAAACCATTTTGTAGAGCTTAAAAAAACAAATAATTTAGTATATTGAAGCGTTATTATGCGCCTAATGGTTACGGAGAAAATTCCAAAAAATTGTAAATTTAAAATTCCCATGTTATTCTTATGGAGAATAAGTAAATTGTTGTAGTTTGCTTGTTTATGAACATATTTTGATCAAATTTGGAAAATGTTTTTATTTCTTACTAACTATTAACGTTTTACAAAAAAAAAAAAAAAAAACAGTTTTACCCTCCCTGATGCAGCAAACCTAAGTACTAGTTAAACTAATTCTATTTAAATAGAGAATAAATGTTATATTTTTAAGTAGACATTTCAGTGTAAATCCAATCAGTCAAATGGAAATTCGCTTAGTCTGTAGGTTTGCTGCGGCGGGGGTATTTTCTTTTTATTTTTTTCAAAATTTTGATTTTGCATGGTTATTTTCCCATAAATAAACGTAAAAATCTAATTTTCTCGAAAATTCCCCGAACGGTTTTGATAAAGATTTGTATATTCCAAACAAAATTGTACAAATTCCATTTCCGTAAAAATTACGGTTTAAAAGTTATTAAAACGTATGTTACTTTCCTATAAAATAACAAAAAATCGGTTTTGATTCAAATCAATGTGTTATGGTACTTATAATTCTAAACAAAATAATACAACCCCCATTTCTGTTACTTTAAAATTTATTTCAACTTGTGTGATTTTTCCCTACAAAATTATTATAGTTACTCCCACCACTTACCCAAGATAAAGGTTGTTGACAAGCTTATGGGGGAAAGTATGTGTCAGATTGCTGATACCGTTTTTTTTTACTACTGTGGCCACTGGCATATTGTGAATTGTTTAACTTTAGAAAATCAAATAAGCATAAAACTATAAGCCAATGATCTAATTCCACTAGTTCATTGTCTAGATTTTTTAGCTTAGTTGCCGTATCAGTGCTACACCCTATGACCCTATACACAGATCTTATTTTGTCTTCTGTGATCCTATATTGTCTCTACAGCTCAGTGGATCTACTATACAAATGATTATCCACTTAAGCCATAAGTTAATACAATAGTTTTATTTTTTACCATGATGTGGTAAAAAAAATTCAATCTTGTTCTAGGTGATGCTGCTGGGGGACTCGGGAGTCGGCAAAACTTGTCTACTAGTACGATTTCGGGACAATTTGTTTTTGTCTGGAAACTTCATTTCCACAGTTGGAATTGACTTTAGGGTGAGCTCAGCCCTAAGACTACTGGGTGTGTACCATGTCCTGAGATTTATGCATCATGTACATTGCGTTATGTAGGTCTTGGCTGGAGGACTCAGTTATTTCATTACTACAACAAAGGTTAAACATTTAACGAGCTGATTATTTTTTTATGTAAAAGGGTGTATTATTAGAAATATAAAATAAAGACGATTTCGATTTTAAGGTATGATAGATATTAACTACTATGAAAGACGTTGATGCTTGAATGGTCTTAAGGTTAGTTTGCATTAATTATATTGTTATTGTGTATGCCAATAGAGATAGCTATGTAAAAAAAGCAATTTAAGTAAGCCATTGATGAATATAGTTTAATTTAAAAAATGTTATAGTTTAATTTAGTTGCTATAATTAAAAAACTAAACTGTCAGATAAGACATCTCTTCTATATGAGGTAAGTTGAACTTTATGAACTCTAACTTACACACTACTTTCATGAATCAACTAAGGACTTCAGTGATAAGGTAAGTCGATTGTTTCATTTAAAGCTATCAAAATTGTAAATTTTTCAGGAGTACATAGTCTAATACACCAGTAAAGTTACTAGTCTATTATTCAACCATATTTTTTTAATGTTATACAATTTCACTTTCAAATTGTGAAAAACAATAGTTCAGACAAAATGTTTCATCTATAACTCTTGTGGTGCATATTAACCATTATCAATCCATCAGTAATCAATAATAGCTAACATTTTTCAATTAAAATATTTAATCCACTTTGTGAATTTGCAGACATAATTTGCTGATTTGTTGATTATCTTCAGAATGTTTAGGATTTGCTTCGGCTCCCCTTTGACTCATTACGAAATAATTGATTTAAGATCGGTTTTCTACTTTGGGATGTGTATTTTTTTTCTCTTTTGGATATAGTTGATTTTGCAGCTTATTTGTTTTTCATTCCACCAATGCTGGTGACAATGTTTGGTCAGACAATATAGGATAAATATAGATTTTACACTTTGAAAATTAAGCAATTTTTGCTGTTTAAACTTTTAATTATTGATCCAATTTCCATCTTTAATTTTTGTTCAACTTTATCATCAGTGTGAGAGTCTAGTTAATTTATTGATTTGGAATTTGGTTTTCCAGAACAAAGTGGTATCTGTTGATGAAGCAAAAGTCAAGTTACAAATCTGGGACACAGCAGGACAAGAAAGGTTTCGCAGCGTAACTCATGCCTACTACAGAGATGCTCATGGTAAGTGTGGCCACTGAATAAATTAATACCATTGATTACGTATATAAATAAAACGCAAAGCTTATTGCATCGGTTTCTGAACAAGCATGCCGATGGCCATTAGGGGCTGGAAAAGAGGTTATCTTAAGGACAAGCTTATGTCGCTAATGAAAGAGAGAGCCTACTATAGCATCTCAGAGTTCATGACCGATAAGGAGATAGCACATATAATTCATAGCCAACTTTCCATCATCCCTGGAAGTTTTTTTTAACTTGTATATATGTATATATATTGTTTTATACCTTGAACTGTTGTACACGTTATGAAGTATTTTTTTCTTTTGTGCGTGTATAAGAAATGATTTATTCATTTTTGACAAGACGCAATCTATCCCTAATTTGGGTAAAAGATGAAGAAGGAAAAAAGCAGGTCGGCAGCGATTGGATTCAAGCGAGGCATGCAAAGACAGGTAGTACTTGCCATACCGTCCAATGGTCCAATGCGTTTTATGTTAACTACTTTTTAATTGAAACTTCTTATCTGTTAGTTGATTTTATTGTAGTAGTTTTGTCATCCTTGTGGATCAGCTGAAGATAATTTAAGTGTTATTTCCGTCCGGTGTTGAAGGACGTGTTTTTGTATAAATTTCCAGTTATTTAAAACCATGTTTAAAGCTAAATTTCTCAGATACTGGCGCTCAGTGTCACTTAAATGAACTATACAATAAAAAAAGCTGAAGATTTTAGATGAAAAGTCTACTTTATTACACTACTCGTTCTTATCACTTATTGATTTCACCACTTATTTATAGGTGCGTATTTTAGCCAACATTTGAGTGAAAGATCATTGTAAAATGGAGTGGGATGATCTTTGAAGCTTTTTTACTGAATGAGATCAGCTCTGTCGTAGTCAATATCGTTTATGTGATTTAAAGCAAAATGATCCGGGACAGCTGAATCCAGCTTAGAACCGCCAAAAAGCTACTGACTTTTCTCGGGATATTATCTGGCAACCTTTTAATTTATATGTAATCACTATAACCACTGAACTACCTCTAGCCACAAAGCCAGTTATCTTGTATTATGATGCTATTGGTTGAAAATCTTCTCATAATATTCCAAGGATGATCAATTATGGTTGAACTAAAAGGGAAATGTAGTTTCATGGGGTTAGTCTTTGTATAGGTACCAGGTTAGATTTCACTTCTTGGAAAATAACAAACAGACAAGAGAGAAACAAAATTGATTGCCTATTTATGTGAAAAAATGACGAATTTTACAAGAAAATTAACTTTTGAAATAAATAAATAAGAGGATAAAAAACAGAAACCGTCCAAAAACCAATTTATCATAACTGTCACATTTATTTTGTCCATTCCTGGGATTCTTCATCCGAAGCCCCCCTCCCCCTTTCTGGGTTAGGCAAGCCTGACGGGCCCAAGCCGAAGAAGATATCTTAATTCTCTCCCTTTCTCAAATCCCAGGGACCCTAGATATATCCATAGACTAACCAACACAAGTAGACTTCTCATCCCATTGTAAATTTTGAAGCACGTTTTTCGTGTCTAGTTCATGTACGTGACACAAAGGCGCTAGTGTCGATGAAACTTTGTTTCCATTATTTTAGGGTTAATTTCTTGATTTGTGCTTTACTGTTTGGTTATATAACTAGGGGACAAGTTATTGTTTATGATTAGATCGTATTATTTGGTTAAAAAAAAAACGAGGTTTTAAATGGCTGTAATAACGGGAAACAAATTGTAAACAAAACACGGCCTCTACATAAACCGTACATGAACTAACAATAAAATTGTCTTCAGCTGTTCCATAAGGATGAGAAATCTACTAAGGGAGTATGTTTTATCTATGATATATCTTAGTGTGAATCTTGTATAGGCCTTGAGCGTAATTTTATGAAAAAGTATTTTATTTTTAGAATGCCCTCTGCCAAGTGTCCTTCTAGATCAGTAGGTTCAAACACATTTCTGCAAACTGTTTCGGTAAACATAGGCCTAGGTCTAGGTCTACTTTTTGGTTTACTCGCATCGGCGGTAGGCTTATACTCGTGCACTTAACGTAAGTGACGGTTCAGAAGCGTGTTTTAACTCTGCAATCCACTCGACTAGCGCGCGCAAATGCATGAGTTTAGGTTCTTACTGTTTTAAACCCTAATTGTGATTGTGAACCGATTTAAAAGGTCTTGGTGTCATATTTTTTTCTTAAATATTATTGTAGGTTTGGCACTTTTTGAAATTTAGATATAAAAAAATATTGGGCTAAAAGGTTGGTAAAAATGTTAAAATACCTTTTTTATCATAAGTTTTAAACGCATACAAATAAAATTTTAATGAATAAAAAATAACAAACGGGGAAGTGCAATAGATTTATAAAAACAAGAATCTGCAGTTAGTTTACTAAAAAGTTTAAGGATAACGTAGCAATAACCGAGATTCAAAAGTCTTGCAAGCGCTCTTCATTGCCCTGTTCAGTGCAATGGTATAGGATCATCGGCGTCGTACTGTGAAATTGAGCTAAAGGTAGAGCGCACCCATAATACTAGTCACAAAAAAGTCACATGTTAACGTTTTAAACCTGAGACATAAGTCTGAAACACATACACTACAGTTAGTTAACATACATACTGTACAAACGAGAACGAGACGTTTTGACAGTGACATTGATCACGGCCACCTTTAAAGGCGGCCGTGCATTGATAGAGTGCAGTGCCAGTGATAGAGATAACACTTTGTCGCGAACAGTTCGGCTATGCTCGGTAGATTCGGAAGTGTTCGGCACGGCATGGTGGTGGGGGGTGTTCCTGTTTTGGAGTTGGAGTCAGGAAGGTCTGGCTGGTACACGAAAACGAAACGACGAATTGAATATTGACGAAACGAACGAGGGAACAGGGAAATGAAATCGAAATCTGAAATTCGAAATTCAATTCAGTAAGAGTAAGTAATCACTTAATACTTAAATCAAATCAGGAAATCAGTTCAAGTTCTTCTGATCTGAGTTTCGAGTGAAGTGAGTTTAGTTCTCCACTCCAGTAGAGCCCAGAAAGAATACTAAATTGAAATAATAAAATGTTTTGTGTTTATTATTTTTTATAACTAATCCAGGTAGGCCTAGCCGAATCTTTTTTAGTAATAGCCTAAATTATGTGGTAGGCCTATTCCGGTAGTTTGATAACTTATTGCCCTAACCTAACAAGTTAATTATGTTTTCCTGTCTAGGCCTATGTCTGCATGTTTGCTTGAACAAACTAAAATCAACTAACCTAAGTTGATTAAAAGTTCCAGTTAACTTTTCGATTTCAGGCAGAAAACAAAACAAATGAATGGGACTGATTGTTTCAGTGAGTGTTTGTCTCAGTCAGCATCAGCCACACATTCTGATGTTCAAAAATATTTTAAGATCATTTTAGGCATAGGACTAGGCCTAGGCCTAAGTAACTTACCCTACCGCCTACCATCAATATTTAACTAACATTAAATACAATTAACTTATAAGTAGCAATGAAATCTTAAGTTAATCCATAGGCCTAGCAATAACTTTCCAGCAGTCAGCTCTAGGTTAAACCCTAATTAGGCCTAAGCTAATTATTATAAAAAAGGAGAATGTTCACAAGGTAATGTAATTAATTTAAGTTAACTAATGTAGGCCATCGTGTACCAGTGGCGGAGATAAGAACCCACGGGCCCCACCGCAAGTTTGTTCACCGGGCCTCCCTCTCCCAATAACTTAATACCTATGCTATTCAAAAACATCACAGGTATTTCCACCTAAAGGTAGGCTACTTTTGCTTGGCATGGCATCTAAAAACTTACCAAGGCATGAAGGCGTCATCATCAACTTTCATGTTTGCAGCAAAATCAAATACTCTCTGGGTAGGCCAGCCTAATTAACTTATGTCAACCTCCAGTCAATGCTCTGAGTAAACAATTTTTTTAAACTGTCCTTTTTTTAACTTAGCACTGATTCTAAAAATGATAGCCTTTTGTGGAAAAATGTCTAAAACACTTTTTGCCCAAAATCAATTTTGTGTGTAAGTTAACTCACCTATACTTACTCAATTTTTGCTTTGGTAATAGCTAATTCTCTATAGGCCTATGGGAAATTTGCTAAAGTAGGTTGAGGTGGTAAGGTTTGCCTACTGATAAAATAATTAGGCCTATACTAGATGCCTACTGAATAGGCCTAGGCCTACTTATTTAAATAAATTAACTTAATTTGGAATATAGGCCTAAACTTTAAATTAAAACACCTTGTTTCAGCACTGCTCCTCTTGTATGACGTCACAAATAAAACCAGTTTTGACAACATACGAGCTTGGCTTGGGGAAATCCGAGAGTACGCTCAAGATGATGTCGTCATCATGCTTCTAGGTAAGTTTCCAAAATGTAAACCTGTTATCATATTTAGAACTCATTTAGTTAGAACTCATTTTACTAAACAAAAACCAAATTTCTTTAAATAAGAAAAAATAAAGGTCAAAATTTTCCTTGTCTAGTTAATGGCGTCTGGACTTCGGTACAATATAGACAGGTTTTATCCCCGGGCTTGACTTAGAACTTGGGTTATGAGTCAACTCGGCTCGTCACATCACTAGTTTATATAAGTCGCATATATGCGACGCCGCGGTCATTGCCACAGACTGAGGACATTTGAATCTTACTTACACACAGACTGGTTGTCACTTGGTTAACAGTACACACAGACCATGGGTGAAAACCTGTAAAACAGTGATCATTTACACTGTAATGTGCTACAATCATGTTTGTAAATAATTTATTCTTGTTTTTTTGTATTTTTAATAATCTTTAGTAATGTCGCATATTTGCGACGCCCGGTCTACAGGAAAGACAATAGTGAAAATTATCATAGTTTTCTTGAAATAGACCAAACGTCGCATATATGCGACAGTTCCTTTCATTCATTCATTTCATTTTTCATGTGTTTTGAGGTAAAAGTAAGTAAAAAAAAAAAAAACAAATTATTCAAGAACAGTTTATAACTGAACAAATATAAAAGCTACAGAGGATAATGCAGCATAAATACTGCATACATACATACAGTGATGCAGAAAAGTAAAGACCAGTTTTTCCAACTATCATATGACGTCACTAATCATCATATCCACAGACCAAGCGACGCAGTTGTGCGTCAGACATCTCTGTAGACTATTGCAGGGAATTCAGTGCCTTCAAATAGACCGGTACAAAGATATAAGCATTTTAATAACATTAGAACCCCGACGCAAATATGCGTCGTCAGTCTATTTTAATGTGACTAGCCGTCGCATATATGCGACGGCAGTCTATGGGTGGAAACCGGCCGTCACATATGTGCGTCGCTGGTCCATGTGAATAAAAAATTTCGTACTATTGCAGTAGCGAACGTGTTAATTTAAAGTAATTAGGGATGGTCAAGTCTCGAAATTTCGGGAAATTTTCGGGAAATTTTAAATCTCGTTACACGAGACGAGATTTCTTTTTGTCCGAGATTTTTATCGAGACAAGAATTAAAAAAAAAAAAAAAAAAAAAAAAAAAAATTAAAAACGCCTGCAGAAAGTCAATGCAATACCCGCAATACAGGAGCGTGTTGTAGTTGCGTTTCCTTTGCGAAGGCGTTCTTATTTAATTAATTCTTCAAATGTAAATATTACTTTAATTATTTTAATTAAATTTGAGAAGTTTTGTTAAGTGTTAGCAGTGTGAGGAATGTTTTATTACTATAAAAAAAGTCTAAACAAGTAACTATTTTATAAAAATTAATATTTTATTTTATGATTTATTTTATTTTAGGATAAGTTAAACTCTATCCTAACTGATATCACTATGTTTCCTAATCGTAGGCATTTTTAATAATTTAGGCGTGATTAATAAAAAAATGTTATGCTGATGTTTTTTAATAAAAGATTGTAAATATTCTTGCCTATTATCATTATTTTTGTATTTAAACAGTCATCTAACAATGTTACAAAATCAGGTAAAAATTCCGAACGTGCATTTCCCGTTGTGTATGAGAAGGGAAATCCCGTCTCGATCTCGTCTCGAAATTTTATGAGAAATAAAAAATCTCGTCTCGTCTCGTCTCGAACTAAAAATCCAATCTCGTCCATCCCTAAAAGTAATGCATGCTACTCATTCCGTAGAGTATGCTGTAACCTCTCCTTTGCTGCATAATATCCTTAATAAATAGATAGGTATACAAAAGAGTTTCAAACAATACTTATGTACTTATCTAAAATCCGTGTCTTTGTTCAGGTAACAAAGCAGACTGCCAAAGTTCAGAGCGGATGATTCGAAAAGAAGATGGGGAAAGACTTGCTAAAGAATATAGTGTTACATTCATGGAGACTTCAGCCAAAACAGGACTTAATGTGGAATTAGCATTCATGGCTATTGCTAGGTAAAATATGTTAGCCTATTTATTGCTCACTTAGAACACATTTTAGCTATAGGCTAATGTAATTTTATGACTGATCACGCATCGTCACAAAAATCACAAATGTGTTTCATTTTTGTGGATGGTATTTTCATTAAGATTATAGTTTAGAGTTTATATGCATACATTAAGTTATAACACTTCAGTTTTCGCTGTCACCAACGATTGCTCTCTCAAATACCCCAGCTGCAACAAACCTGCAGACTAAGAGAATTTTCATTTGCCTGAATGAAATTTTCAATTTAACTATTTAAATCATTAACTTAGCTATTAAACAACTACCTAGGTTTGCATCTTTTTACAGGGAGGGTAATAAACTGTGTTTTTTTAGAAAAATATTAATAGCTTGGTTAAAAGGAATTTTACATCAAAGTATATGATCCAGTGGATAGTTTTATTTATGCTTTAAGTTAAAGGTTAAGTGGTAGAGAGTGTAACCGAATTCCCAACTCCATTGATCAAAAGGGTGAAGCCCTTGGAAGCGCAAAATCAATGGTGGGATTCCGGCACAATATTGCTGAGGTGGAGGACCAATAATAACAACACAAGAGCTGGCTGGACACAAATATAAATTTGTTCATTCTAATATATATATATATATATAAATGCAACAATGATACTTAAATAACAATAATAAATAACACATTGCCCTAGCCAAGATAATAATTAAGTTAAAGCTTTTAAAACATTTAAACATTTCTTAAATAAAAATTACAATTTAATTTAAAAATGAAAATCGAGTTAAGTGACACTAGGCGTAAGTGACATTTTGCAAAAGCATTTAGTATACTAACTTAAACAAATTTAAAACAGATTAGCTTAGGTGGCCACCTTATAAAAATCATTTAAAACAATTAATTTAATGCCTTTAGTCCTAGGCCTACATTAAAATAAATAATTTTTACATTTAAACGAACATGAAAAACATTTACACATATCGACAAATGTGGTCGCCTCGCAAAAATATATTCCAAGCGGTTAAAACTAACCGTCAAGGGAAAAAAAAATGTTTTACCCTCAATCAAGGGGTGTGAAACAGAATTAAAAGAAAAGGAATTTAAAATTTGAATAAAATATTAAGTAAGTAAATTTAGAAAGGAAAGACTAATTAGTTAAATTGCAGGTAAAAAGATTACAGATTTTTGTTATATAAGTTAAATAAAAGCCTATGTTGAGTGAGATTTCTTCATGATGGATGAGACTCTCCAAATGGGCTGGACTGACCTGACCGTAAAACCTTGCTGGCATCCAGGTGAGTTAGCAGGAAGTAGAAGTAGGCCGAGAACATGGTGGCCGCTTCCCAGACACTGCAGCACGGTATTAGGCCGGAGTAGACATAGGCCTAGCTGCGTAGGTGTCACCATCAGTGGGTGGTGGTGCACAGTCAGTGGTGCGACGCAGTCCCATCCGCCTGGGAGAAGGCTCATCGTGGTGCAGTTGTTAGCATTCTAATGGTGGCAGGTTTCAAGTGGAGTCGCCGACCCTGATACAAAGTATAGATCACTGACCTGGCCTAATTAAGGCTAACATGTCTCAGAGTCCACAATTTAGTTTGCACTAGGTCTGAATAAACAAAAGAGCGTAAAACATTCTCTTTACCTGCAGTCAGCGACCACATTTTTACAAAAGCTGTTCTAGCGTCTAGCCTAACCAAACATTGTTTTCTAGAGAAAGGTAACATGATCTCACATGAATGAAAATGCATGAATGTGCTTGCTTACTATTCACATGTTTAAGAACAAACAAAATGGGTATTTAAGTTATTATCTTGGCTAGGCTACTGTAATTGACCAGAGCAACAATTTAGGCTAGCAAAAGTTACTAGCACAAACAAAATTAGAACTAGCCTAGAAACTTTTGACATGATTGGGTCCAGACCAGCTCACAGTTAAACACAGGAATTACACAAAATGACTCAAAAATTACACAAAAATGACGTTAACACTTTAACTTGGTCTTTTAACCTTAAACATGAAAATTGGCTCAACTTTTAATATCACTTGTACTGACAAAGTTAACTCAACGAGGCATGCACATTGTGTTATCTAGAGGACTCGAAACTCTCAGAAAACAGTACAATAAACATCAAAATGACTCTATAAAACATTTCTGAACGATAGTGAAACAGTGAAAAATGAAACAAAATGAAATAAGCGAGGACTAGGCCTGGCGAATTCAACTTACCCGTGGTATGAAAACTCTTAGCCAAAGTACGTCATGCTGACGATGATGGAAAGGGACCTATGAAGGTAAAAACTTCAGGGTTCACAAAAGAAAACTCTTCCGGAAGAAAACCCCGTAGTTTTGAAACAATCTCAAACCCAAAGTCTGAAGAACGGGAGCCACAAAATGTCATCCGACGAACGTCTAGCAGACGCGGCCAGTAGTACCAACCACGCAACAAATTAAACAGTGCCGTTGAGCATTGAGCACATACACACGGCACAAGAGGACTTGCTAGTCCTAACTTCGCCTCTTAAATAAAGACATTTTTCATTTCATTTCATCCATTAACAAGCAAACTAGAACAGTTGACTTATTCTCAATAAGAATAAAATGGGAACTTTAAATTTACAATTTTTTTAATTTTATCTGAAGCTAAAAAACTACATAGGCCTATGTTAACTGTAGGAAAACACTTAAACATAGGTACTAAAATGTTTGTTTAGTTAAGCCCTTTAAAGTAGGCCCTAAATTAAAGAGAAATAAAAAAAAAATATGTTTAAGAATAAAAAATTAGAAAAACCAATTTTTACCCCATTAAACCCAGTTCCCATGGTCTGATCATGCCGCTTAGCAAACTCATTCATGTTTATCCCACCCCTACATCTTTAAGCCAAATTTCATCAAAATCAGACAAAATTACTTAGAGTTATAACCATCAAAATCAGACAAAATTACTTAGAGTTATAACGTTTACAATAATTTAATATCAGGTTAATCACTGATACGTTAACAATGTTATTGTTATTAAAAAATATTTCATCAAAAGTCAATTCCAATAGGTATACCTGTCACATCCGCCCGATGGGAAAGTTACCACTTCTGCAGGGATTGCTCAAGATGACAATGCATTTTTGTGCCCGATGAGTCGAGGATGATGTCTAACGGCCACGGGAGATTATCAGAATTTTGCCGTTCTAAGCTTTCCTGCCGTATGAAAGTGCGGGAGCACTCTTCTTCTCTTGCAGTTTTCCTACCGATATATAATTAATTGACAATATAGATCTAGATATCCTCCCTCTTTGCTGCCAAGTGTTTGACAAGGATGATCCCAGCAATCAGCTGATCCAGAACAGCTGATGATCCCAGAACAGCTGGTTCAGACAACAGCTAGTACACAGAAGTGACCCTGAGTGCCGCCTGATGCTGCATCTGAGCAAGCCTCAAACGATTAAGCGCATCGCCCCACACATCAGAACTTTAAAAAATCGTGGAGTCTGCTATAAACAACAGAGGTTCTTCTCCAGCTGGATGGAGGAAGCCCAATCAGTGTGTCCGTACGCGGGATAAAACAAGAATTTCGGCTCTGAGGTATTATTTTATTTTTATACTTAATTTTTGAGAAAAAATAATCCCAATTGATTAAAGTACTTTAGCAAAAAATAATAGAAATGTTTAAACAGGATACATCAAATATAACATCCAGGATCAAACAAAAAAAATCATGTGGGATAAAACGAGATTTCTCGAACCGGTAAGCAGGATTATTTCTTTGATCGTGTGGATACACTTCCCCCAATATAAGCCAAAATCTTACTATGAGCAGCGACAATCACAGCAGCCTTGTCCGATGTACAGAAGATCTGGTCCCTCCAACTCAACTTGATGCCGACACTGAGGTGCTTGGCAGTTCGCATGGTTTGGACTACGACGTTTCTGACTTGGAAGGGAAAGATGATGTTGATCTTTTTCTTCGTAAGGATGACAATGACGATCTCTGTTTAGCTAAAAGCAAGCGACAGTGACAGACCATGATCAGCCATCCAGGTCCAGGCAAGGTACAACGTGCATGACCTGTTTCAATGTTAGTTGGACCATGTTACAAAAGCAGGGATGAGGTATTGCAACGTTATCATTGTAATAAACCAAAAAGGTTTTCTCTGGCTTCTCGGATCTGAAAAGGCTGTCTTAGGAAGTGTTCCACAAATCTGGACCGAGTATCAAACCTTGTTTTTCACTACAAGTGACGTCCATCATCAGCTGTTTATCTTCAGATTTGTATAAGAGTTCAGTAGTGCAAATGGTCCTCGATGAGCCTCACAAGATATGCTGGAACTCAAAAGGTGTTCCACAACATGTTCAGCTTATGTACCTACCCATCTCGCCGAGTTAAAGAAATTCTTAACATCTAGTATAGCAAGAAACTTGACCCGGTAAGAGAAAGTGTTGTAGCTCTCCGCACATTCAATCGTTTGCTGACCCATTCTGACAGGTAGACAAGTCTCCCACGTCAGCCAGGGGCAAATAAACTTTTCTAAAAGTTTTCCAGTAGTGTAAAACATTTTAGGACGACAACACATACAGGTCACCCTTGCTGATCCGCACAAGCCTTAGCCTTGGGGGATGGGTAAATGCCTTCAGACAGACATTTGTTGTAAATTCTCAGCAGCTACATGTGTTCGATTGTCCTCAAGGATCAGCAGTTAATTCTTCCTGAGGTTTCCTATTACAGCCTTACTTTGTTGATTGCTTGGTAAAGAGCTTTCCTCACAGCCCTGTAGGGATGTGGCTTCAAAATCTGCAAATCTTATAGCTCTCATAGCAGCACATTTAGCTACATTTAGTATAAGCGACACTATGACGTTCCTAATGTGTCAGGTACTCTCACCCCTTCTTTCCACCTTTTTTCCTGGAGGCTTTATTAGAGTCAGCTTTGGGGGTGCCGCCCTCGCCCTGCTTTTTCCCTGGAGCAATGTTGGTTCCCAGGGGAACTGGCTTTGCAGGGAGCAGAGTTAAAGGGTGCTTGGCAGCCCACACCAGACTCCTCTCACTTCTGGATAGCACTTATTCGCCTTTTGCTAAAGCATTCGCTATCCTCCGTCTTCGCAACTCAACCCTGGAAAGTTGTATTTTTTCATTCCTATCTGGTTTCTGCAAGCTTGTCGTTATCCTCAGATTTCGTAGACCTTGCTCCTCCATTGGGATCAGATCGTCTATGTTGTTCCCACGAATACCGGGTATCTAGGTCCACCTCCCCAGTGACCCGATTAGAGAGGTTGGGGTACATACGACTGGGTTCCCTCTGGTTTCCAGAAGGCTCCGTTAAGACACTGAATATTAGGCCCCCTGCCAAAAGACTTTCAGCACGGATCGCAATACACCTTAGTCTAGGGCCCCCCTCACTTTGTTCTGTAGGTAGACCAACACCCAGTGGCAGAAGGTAGCTCTCTGCATCTAACAAGTGAGAGTTTGAGTTTAGGTGTGGCCAACTCCCGAAACAACCCGCATGCGAGGTTTGGCCGGAACTGTGCGAAAGGTTCTCCCACTCACTTAACTCCCATACCTTCCGAGAGATTAGTTTAGTGGTTTGTTTGAAATTTAATTTTAAACTTCAGTGTTGGTTCAGAGTTTCTTAAAAACCTGACCTTTTTAAACTTTGGTCAGTTATATAATTTTTTCTGTTTAACAGAAAATGTTTTTGTTGTTACCACATAAAATGTACGGCATTTCAACTAGTTCATATTTAATTTTTTATTTCAGCAAAGTCAGATGATCCAACTCAGAAATATTTAAGATCAAACTTGAGTGTGCATATTTATTTCCCCGACAAGCCAACAGTAGAATGGTGGGAACGTGAGGGTAAAAATTGTGTTTTCTCATTTTTTACCTTAAAAAAATTTAAGGGCTTTAAAACCCAATAATTGGGTATACTGATATTTTTTTGTACTGTTAATGGTTATGGATAGGGTTACCTACAAAAAAGAGGAGATTTTAGCTGGCGGCCCCCACTACAATAGTGGATAAAATTTATCGGATTGGCAAAATTGTATAGCGTACCTAGTACGGTAGCAAAAATATTATGACAGAAGCTATGGGTCATAAACTTAAACATAAACAAAATGATGTCACTGGCCCGAAAGTAAACATGTTTTTGTTATTATTTAAATGGAACTGTCAAAAAACATCCAGTTGTTACCGCTATTAGCCTATAGAAATTTGGTCCAGTGATGTAATTTGTTTATAATAATTAGTTTATACCGTTTCTGTTCAATATTTGCACTACACAATGTAAATATTTAAACGGTACGTGAAAATATAAAATGTTGCATTGCTAAACACATCTCACTAAAAATAACGAATAAACCGAAAAAAGGCAACAAAACGCTCTTTGTCTGCTAGGCTTTGGTGGTGAATACGGACACCTTCGGACTGGCCGGCAGACGCATATTGAAGGACTGGGAGCAATGAAACAGACTATATAGATTAACTAAAGACGTTATTGGCCAAAGTAAAGCCAAGGAATAAAAAAACTTTAGTAGAGAGTACAAGAGTTACATTTCTCAGTTATTGCATAACGATATTAGCGAACGCAAACATTTATTTTATTCCAAAAGTGCCATTTTATTGTGTATTTTAATAGAGAGTAAAAAAGAGAAGATTTCTCACTTTTTGCAGAAACACCCCGGAGCTAAATTTTGAACATAAAAATCCGGGGATACGGCAATCCTACTTATGGAGAAAATTCAAAAAATTGTAAATTTGAAATACTTATGTTATTCTTATGGAGAGTATGTACTGTACTCTGTAGTTTGCTTTTTCATGGATATTTTTTTATCAAACTTGGCAAATTTATTTATTTTGTATTACGCTATTATTATTTTACTAAAAAACACTATTACCCTCCCTGTGGAAGCAAACCTAGGTACTCGTTAAACCTAATATTATTTAAATGAAAACTGATCAGGCAAGTGGTAATTCGCTTAGTCTGTAGATTTGCTGCTGCAGGGGTATTTATTACTGGCAATTTTTACATAAAAACTCATAAAATAACAGCGAAACCAAAATTCTACAAAACGGCTCAAACATAAATTCAATTAAATTTTAGTTTAGTATTTTTTTCTCAATAAAAATGGTACAGTTAAAATGACAAAAATTATGGTTCAAAACTTGTTACATATAACTTTTGTGATCTTTCCCATAAAATATAGTTTCTCTCACCGCTTGTCCATGATAAGGGTTGTTGTTGGGAGAAAGTACGTGTCGGATCGCTGCGTTATTAAGATATGTTTTATTCTTTAAGTTTTAATTTGTATGTGAGTTTATTCAATTTTGATTTCAGGGAGCTGAAAGCTCGCAAATGTGGCAATCCTGACAACACAGTGTTCAACGTTCAAGAATACGTTCGGGAACAAACCCAGAAAGGATCTTGTCCACCGTGCAACACATAAAACAACCCAGTGAAAAATAGACTCAAATTTTAAAACTAAAAAACTTCTGTGTTCAAAGTATTTCTGTAAGTTTGGTACAACTTCGCATAATCATTGTGTTTCATACTAATTTGACCCTAAGGACGTTCTGAATTATTGCATATTTCGTGACTGTCACAGTATTTGATAAGAAAGGATATAGAAGAATAGTGCTTTGAGGCCTTAATTTGTCCCTGGTCTCTTTGTTTTCTACAATTTGTTTGTGATTTAATAGTGTGTTGAGTGGTTGTCATAAATCTATTGGTTTATTGTTACACTACATAATTGATTTTGACATTAGTTGTACATATCAAGTAGTTATCAATTTTAAAGAAGCTATACAACTCGATACGAGGATATTTTATGTAAGTGGACAAGACATTTTTGTTATATCGCTTAACAGTGGTATATTGTGTGTTTTGAGAAAGTAAAGTAGCAAGGTGTAAATAATAATTAAATCTAGGTAATATGTTACTTATTATTTATGTAAAACATAGAAAACAGCCTAGAAATCAGATGAAATATTTTTTAAATATAAAACTGTATTTTTAATAATTACAAACCAATCTAGCACCCTCTGAAAATGGCGTCATTAGTGTCTATGCTAGATTTGCCAGACGAGCTTCTGCTAACAGTTTTTTCATACCTCGATGTCACTGACATTGTGTTATCTATCAAATATGTTTGCAAACGTTGGAATAATCTTGCAAATGATTCTCAGTTATGGAATGAATTAGAGTTTGATGTTCATGAAAACATGGACATAAATGAGGTTTTAACCCTCCTTCCCAAATTGAAATTGTTAAAACGAGTGAAGCTATTTTGTAGTAAAGCAATTGATTCTACAATTTTTTATAGGTTTAAAGAATACTGTCCTAATTTGGTATCCATCAAAATTGATTCTGATGATACAATTATGTTGAATGTTTATAATATTTGGTACATTTTTGAAAATTTCCGATGTATTAAATCACTAAGCCTTTCAGAATTTAATTTATTACCTACAATTAATGTAAGTGCATACACATGTTTGACTGGTATCACCTCTTTGACTTTGTCAACCCCCTTCTTATTACCACGGGATAATTTCAAATTTTTTATTGATTGTTGTCCCAACATTGTTTCTCTCAAATTAGGAATAATGTTTGAGGTTTCAGAGGAAGACTTCATTTTGTGTCTCTCAAAGATACATCAGTCCCTCAAGTACTTGTCATTTAGTGGCATGTTGATGACTGACAATGTATTTAAGCATTTGGAGAAATGTCAACTCAAACAATTACATATTACTGATTGTTTTCAAATGACAGATAACTGTTTAAAAACTCTTAGTACAATGACGTCTCTTGAACGTCTGATCCTTGACACTGCAGATTTGTTTTCAGCGAAAGCGTTGCACAATTTTTATCACTCTAGCGTCTCAAAGAATTTAACCTGCTTAAGTATTAGTTTTAGAAGGCAATTGGATGCTGGTGATGTATCTGTATGGTTGTATCAAAATTCAAACATTCAAAGTACCCATAAAGATAAAACATGTTTTTGTAAATTGACCAAAATTGGTTTAAAAGTGTTTGACATATCACAATGATGTCAAGACATACCAAGATGTGATGTTCGTTGGGTTTATGAAGTGTCAGATGATTTGACCTTTGTGTTACAAATTCATATATATATAAGAATGGTATATCAGTTATGTATAACCTTAATTACTAGTCTAATATTGAGGTAGGTACTCGAAAAGTGTAAATAATGTATGGATGTATATCCAAAGAACAAAACATCAATTGGTTTTATTGATATTTTTTCTCATGATATATTGTTTTCATCCTCAGTTTGTTATTGTGTAGATATAACGATGCTTGATGTCTTTGTTTGCAGATATTGATTAACTTAACTTGTTAACTTACTTTATTTCTTCATCAGATTGTTTGATATTGAATATTGTTCTTAAGTAAAGCTTGTTAATTTGTAAAACTTAACGTGTAATGCCTATAAAGTCGGTAGTGTTGAATAATATATTTTATCCGTTAAATGTCTTTATCATTAGCTGATAAAATGTTTGCTGAGGATAATAAAGCATACAAACTAATATTTATGTGTAAAAGCCGAATCTCAAATCTCATAAACATCAAAACTTTGGAAAAGTTTCGGTTTTGAGTTTTGATAGGCAAGTTTTGAGATTCAAAAGCTTCTTAATTGAAGATTTTGATAGCTTTGTTCTTAAAACTGCTGAAATTTGTTGTAGTCATAAGTGTTGTTTATAATACTGTTTGAACACATACGCTGGGAAAATGAATCAAGTAAATTACATTCTGGCCTAAAAAAATTTAATTGCTAGAAAAACAAACAATAAATATTTCTACCGATATTTACTAAACACAAATGAATATTGACCACTAAATGTTCTAATGGTTCTTATTTTCATGTTTATGTTGGGGTATGGAGTTTAATTAATCTTAAATGTTTGATGTTGGTCAAACATAGTTTTTATGTGTTTGAAGTTAATTAGGCACATATTTATGCTGACAGGGCCAGGACTCAATTACTTTGATTTATTTTTTTATGCTATTTGTTTTTATTGCATAATAAACATTTTGTTATTAACTAATTTTGTAAGGTAAACTTTTTACATAAAAGGTTTTGCGTATGGGTTTTGAGATTCGGGATTTGATTTATCGAGTTTTGGTTTTGATTTTGAGATTCAAAATTTCTAGTTTTTGCCATAAGTTTTAGGTATTACAACCAAAATATAACTTGTCCAAATAACAATTGCGTTTCGCTCTCAAACTCTGAAATAGTCTTAACTCGTAAAATAATTTTCAATGAGTGTTTAAAAACTATAGTTGCTTTTGACATTTGTTAAAATAACGGTGAAGTCTTGCAATGAATAAACAAAAAAACTATGAGAGTGTAAATGGAAATCTGTTTAATAAAGGATGGTCATGTATAGGGATAAGAGATATATTGTTTATTTTTTTATGCTAATGAGAATGTTATGTTAATGTCATGTATTAACTTGCCCTCAAAGTATGACAGTTTCTTGGAAGGTTTTTCTGTCAAGCGTCAACAATATTTCTGTACTTGTTAGCAATTGATTTTGCATTACTAACCTACTGCTGATTAAAGATGTTTTAAATAATCTTGAATTATTCCACCCTTGTTGAAATTAGTGTTTGGCAATTTGCAAAAAATGCTTGATTTTATAATGATGAGTACAGTTAAGCAGAGAAGCTACAATATCGGATGAAATTTTCATGCCATATAAAATATCAATTAAAATATCTTTTGTCATACTACAGCAAAACCCGCCGTTTAAATAATGTGTAAATAACGTACGGTTGTATAGCCATAGAACAATAAAAAACATCACTTAAGTTTTACACACTCAGTTTGTTATTGTGTGTATGTAACAATGTTTGATGCACCAATACACTCATCTCCATTTATACTTGGCTTCAAATACCTACCTTCGTATAGTCGCCATTAAATTTAAAAGTATCAAAGATGTTTTTGATTGCAGAAATTGATAAGCTCAATTCTTCATCAGATTGTTTGCAAAGTTTAGTATTGCATATTGTTCATAAATAAAGCTTATTCATTTTTTTAACATAATGTGTAATGCCTACAAAGTTCATGCTGTTGAATAATATATTTGATCCCTTAAATGTATTTTTCATTTGCCGATCAAATGTTTGTGGAGGATAATAATGTATACAAACTTATAGTTGAAAGGAATTTTAATTATACACTCCTAGTAAATTTCAACAACAATAATATAACTTGTCCAAATATGAGTAGTTATGTTTGGCTCTCAAACTCTGAAATGGTCTTAAATCATATGATTTGTCAATGAGTGTTTAAAAACTTTAGTTGCTGTTGACATTTGTTAAGATAATGGTGAAGTTTTGTAATGAAGAACTCAGGTAAACTATAAGAATATAAATATTTAATTCAGTAGAACTTTGATAGTTTAACACCCTCTGAGTCCACAAAGTTCTGAACTATATGGAGTATATTGGAAACTTACTCACAGGTAGTATACAAAAGCAGCAAATTTAATGAATTTTATAAAACTTAACAAAAATAAACAAACTTTTCAACTTACTATACCTACATTAAAAAACCACCTAATACTACTATACCTAGCTTCTTACCGTAAAAACTGTTTTCAATATTCAACTGCTTTTCACATTGGATGTTGGATAAAAATTTTAATTAATGGGTTGGTTACAGAATTGAAGTTTTGTGTTCACAAAAACGATAAGAAAGACACTAGTTCTTTACCTCAGCATGTCATCAGGTTCTAATGTACTGTAGATGTATCTGTATTTCAGGAATAGTATTCTAAATTTCAACCAGAGTGGACTAGTTTGATAAAAGATGGTCATGTATAGAGATGTTTTGTTTAATCTATCCCAATGGAACGTTATGTAAAAACTTGCCCTAAAATATAACAGTTACCGTAACATTTTTTTCAACCCTCAACTTTATTATGTTTTTTTATACAAATTGATTTTTTACTTACTACTGATTAAAGATGTTTTAAATAGTTGAGTGATTGTTACCCTCATTTAAATTAGTGAGTATTTGACGGTTTGGAAGAAATGATAGATTTTGTTATCATGGGTACAGTTTTGTCCGACAATTTTAACAATTGTTTAAAATATTTCAATTAATATTAATATTACTTTTCTAGTTTTTCATTAGACTTCAAGAAGTGAGAGCTGCCTGCCAATTTTTTCACAGCATGCTGCAGCATATACTAGACAGTTTGGTTCAGTTTTAACCTTCTGGTGTTCCTATTTTTATTTGGTGATAAGTTGTAATGCGTTTTGTGAACACACTGACATCATTAGGCATCCACTATCACTATAGCTTCGACATGTAACATAAAATAGTCACTACACTGATTCAATCACAAAACAAAGACATTTGACTTAATAATAATAAAATGCCTTTATTTAAAGCGGTCTTCAGTCAAAACTGATTTTCCAGACAACTCAAGACACAAAACAATACATTTTACATAATAATTACAAACAGTAGGTGAAACTAAACTAGCTTTAATCTCGCCTTAAAAGCATGACAGACTTTTCATATTTCTTTTGAGGGTAATTGTATGCCTGGGGTCCAAAGTATGAGAACCCCCTTTTAGCTTATTAACTTTTAACAATATTTTAAGGTATTGTATCGGTGGCCAGATGTATCACCACCCACAAGATTTAAAACGGTTTTAGAAAACGGTCATAGGAACTTTATAAAAATGCTTCCTTAACGTACGTTTTGCTTGGGACGGCAGTCGCGGGGTGGTAAACTGTTTTGCTTGGAGCGACAACTTCTTCCTGGCGTCACCGAGACGTGGTACGTCCATCAGTGCACCCATCCTCAAAAGTACGCATTAAGTATTAATTCAACAAATAAATTCTATACAAAATTTACAATTAAGTATTCTTTAGTTATTTGTTATTAGACACATTCCAAAATTGTCATGTCACAAGCCAAAAAGTAATCAAATTACTCAATTTCTCTGTAAATTGCCACCTCGGATAAATGTGTGATGGTGGGTTGTTGTGGTGGTGGGTAGACTTGTATGTACACGTAAACCCGCCACCTTGGATTTTTGTGGTGGTGGGTTGACGCCTCTGACCAAAACACTGATCTTGACAGCGACCACGGAAAGGGGTTTTATGGGATAAAAATTGGGTTTTCTCATTTTTACCATCGGCCTTGAAACAAAAAAGGCCCAGTTCCTTTCTAGATCGTTTTAAAGAGATTAAAAAACAAATAATTTAGCCTAGCATGTTAAAGTTTTTTTGCAAAATTATTAGTTACGGAGAAAATTCAAAAATCGTGATTTTAAAATTCTTATTGAATTCTTATGGAGAATATTGTAAATAGGGAAAAAAATAACATAAGGTTAATCTGAGCGTCAGCTAGGGGGACCTAGAAATTTGGATGGACAAAGGTTTTTTGACTGATTCTGATTCGGTTTTTTGCACTGATTATGAATTTGCCGAGTGGCCTTGGGCAAACACCGCCGTATTGGGAAAATTGCGGCCAAACCTGGTTTTTATCTAAATACTTGAAAACCCTAAGTTTTGGAGATTTCATGTGAAGAAAAATAAATTTGCATTGGTCGAGGCAGGGAAAAATCACTAAATCTCTGCGTTCTCTCCCGTGGCGAGGCACGGGCAGAACTACAGCAGTAGGTATCCTTGAAGATGAACCTATTTGGCTGTGGCACACTACGCAACGGCACGAGTGACGTGAAGCTGGCCCGCCCATTCAAGCACACTTTTTTAAATGTAGGCCTATATAAAAAAGTGTGCTCTTTATAAAGGCTTTTTAAGTGTACTCTTTTAATAATAATGATATAATCGATTGTATTTGGGCGGGCCAGAATCACGGCTGTATATTGCCTCATAATGTTGTCTATTTCTCAAACCGATTTCAAACATCAACAACATAACTAGAGCAGGTTGGGTAAGAGAAGAAAAGTTTGGAAAAATCGTAAGAGTAAAACTGACTGATGTAAATGTTATACATCATATCATATATCATTGTATACATTAATTATAGTGATGAGGTGGCAAACTATTTCGCTCTAAAAAGCTAAGACATTTATTGAGCCAGATTAACAATCAATTAAAGTTATTACGAGGCATGTCCAAAAAGTAAGTACCGTTTTGGAAAAGACATACAGATCATTTTATTTTTCAACAAAATTTATCTCTAACAGAAAGAGAATATCTTAAACTATTTTTCTACATAGTGTCCACCAATTTTTAGACATTTGTCGTAGCGAGGAACCAACTTTTCTATACCCTCTTCATGCCGCCATTGAAGAGAGCCATTTCCAAACACCGTCTTGAGCGTCGTCATCGCTGTCAAAGCGGCGCCGTATGAAATCCCGTATGAAAAACGGGACGATGTCGAAGTTGGACAACGTTAAACGTGGACTACGTTAAAAGCAGACACCGCCTCGATCAGACAACGATAAAAGCAGACAACGACGAACATGGACACATTCAAATGTGTCCAGCAAGCTTAACGTTGCACGCAAACGACGAACCTGGACACATTTATAAGTTGTCCAGGGTTGTCGTTTGCGTGCAACGTTACCCTTGGACACATTCAAATGTGTCCAAGTTTAACGTTGCATGCAAACGACGAACCTGGACAAGTTTTTAAGTTGTCCAGGGGTGGCGTTGCACGACACGACGAATCTGGACACATTCAAATGTGTCCAAGGGTAACGTTGCACGCAAACGACAACCCTGGAAACTTAATCTGTCCAACTTTAACGTTGTCCGCGTGTGTCGTTGTCCAAGTTCGGCGCGGTTCCGCAAAAACAAGTGGAAATCAGAAGGTACCAGATCAGGGCTGTACGGCGGATGGTCAAACTGCCTCCAACCAAATCCGTGGGGTCGCCGGATGACTGCCCCCCCCCCCGGAAAACTACCCCCCCAAGCAGGTTCCTACGTCATATTGACGTCAGAGACCGGGGGGGGGGCAGTTTTCCAGTCACGGACACTCAAATTTAGTTGTCAAACAGTTCTAATCTAACCTAACTTAACCAACCAAACTTGCTGTAACATTTCGAAAATCTGTTTTATATTCACCATATGCCTTTTCTATTATCCAACGGAATTACTCGAATTAAAATTAAAATTACATAGCATGATTTGTCTAGGGGGGGGTAGTATTCCAGTCGCGGTCACGGCTTCCATATTGGTTAGTAAGCAGATTTTGTGACGTCACGTTTCACCTGGGGGGGGGGGGTAGTTTTCCGGGGGATAGTATTCCGCATCCCCAATCCGTGCATAAGGTTTTGAGTGGCATCAGCAGAATGGGACTCACAACAGGTGACCGCCCACTGCGAGCCTCGTCCGAACATTCGCCCATCATTGAATTGCCGAATCTATTTTCTTACCATTCCTCACTGATAACTTTTTTTCTCCATAAACTTCTGCAAGTCGGCGATGAATTTCAGCCTTGGGATCAGGAATTGTTTCAAACATCAAAAGATGAAAATAATACCCCCGCCTCAACAAACCTGCAGACTGAGCATCCATTTGCCTGGTTGGACTTTACAACTAGGTTTACTGCTAAAGTGTGTTTTTAGTAAAACACGAATAGCTTAGTATAAAATAAATAAATTTGCCAAGTTTGACCAAAATATTTCCATAAAGAAGCAAAGAGCAACAGTTTACTTATTCTCCCTAAATTTAACATGGGAATTTTACAATTTATTGAATTCTTTCCGTAATTAATAACCGTAAAAAAACACTTCAAGAGGCTATAGGCTACTAAATTAATTGTTTTTTTAACTCTTTAAAATGATGTTTTATCCCAACATTTTGACAAATTAATATTTAAAAAATACCACATGCTTTTTTATGAAAAATTTTCGTGATATTGACTTAGGATCACCACCAATTTTTATTGGGTTTTCCAAATTTGATCAAAATCTATATATATAAAAGGCAAAGCCCTCATACCATGAGTACTACGGTAATAGCTTAATCCCTATATGGGAAATTTGCTAAAGTCAGGTGCCAGCCCATTAATTTTTCTCTAAAACTAAAAATAAGCACACATTTAAAATGTATCACAAAAATCGGCCCATAAGGATGTTAATCCTAAATATTCCTTAATAGGCCTATTCTTATCATAAATCTTCTTAAAGGATTCTAAAAGTTACAATAAAACCCATTTAAACATTATATTTAATGCAGCTCTTCACATATAATTTAAGCAAATACCTGCATGAATTTTACAGGAAATTCAATTTTAGCCGTCTCGTGTTTTTTTTTAAGATAAACTCTTAGTTATAAGAATAAAAATCAACGAAACAGAAGGTTTTTATACATTATTCTAAAGGTTAGGTCTATTGAAGAAGTTTTTAGTAATAGTTGACAATCTCTTCAATTCAGCATAGAAAAACTTACGTATTGAATTTTCCTCAAAAATCCCAAATTCGAACTTCTATTGGAGAATAAGGGCTTATACAGATATTTGATCTAAATGACTCTGTACTAAATACAGTATTATTATTTGAAATCTAATGAGGATTCTAAAAAAGACAAGACATTTGAAATAAAAACACCGTTTAGTGCACTTATGACCATTTTATCCAAGCAAATACAAATATTTTGAAAAAAAATCTTATATTGTCTGTTGTCCCTAAACTGTGAGCGTATGCAAACCTAGAATGGTGTCATTTTGTCGCAAATACTTAATAGTTTAACACATAACAGCTTTTAACAATAACTTCGTTCTACTGATAAGATATTTTCAGGGATGGAATAAAGAAGTGATAAAAATGTATTTCATTAAAAAAAGGTTTAATGCGACCTTATACATTCAGTGTAGGTCTACCAGTGGTTGCCTCTCGCTAATGACGGTGAAAGCATTGTCAGACTTTTTAGTCTTAGGCTTGTAATTAAACTTGTATTCCAGTTCTTTATTCTCGTCGCCTTTACCGATAGGCCTAGCCATTTTGCATTGTAATTTGACTGATAACGAAGGATGTTCAGATACAATCACTCTTTTTCCGTATGTATTTTTTTGGAACTCGCACTCGTCAACTAGAAACCAGTCCAGCAAAACATACTGAAAGAGCGTGTAGTAAGTCGCCTTTACCAGGAAGCCCTTTGAACCCTTCTTCTTAAAGCAGGTCCATTCAAAGTTTTGGCCTTCGCCATACGAAGTCTTTTTGACTACCGTTAAGCTGTCTTCAGATATTTCCTTCAATTCTTCAGCATCGAGAAACGATTTCACTAAACAAGAAAATTAAACAAGTTTGGTTTCAGCTTTTTCAAGCAAGGCTAAGGCAAGGCCGTGGTGAGACAATGGTGGCAACGCCGCAGTACCAGAACAGCTGTTGAACTAGGTAATTCATAATGCAGCGTCTTGTTTGTGTTAAACATGGATCTCTATTATTTGATAATATAGAGATCGATGGTGTTAACACGTTCGTATTGTTATTTTCATGGCATGGGCCGGCTTGTGCGGCGTTGCCACACTCGTACACCGTCACCTTGAAATAGAGGAGGCTATGTAATTGCCCACTATACAGGGTGAACATTGAACATTGGTATCTCATAGAAACTGCTAGATTTTGAGGAAACATAAAATTAATTATGAACGAATTATTTTCTTATGACAAAAAGAAATGTGGATTCCACTTTTAGTCATATTTTCCTACTTTCTCCCTCAATACGGAGAAAGTATTGTTTTTGTTAAGATTTTGAGCTTGTGTTTTAGGTGGATATCTCCATTTCTGGTCCCCCTGAACCCAAAAAAGTAGTTTTCGGGGTGATGTGTATGTGTGTGTGTGGATGTGTACAGAGCTACAGACCCACACCTCTGGTCAAATTTTTATGAAATGTGTTATGTAGGTACAATTCCATGGCCTCTCTAAGGTGATTTTCAATTTTTTTTTTAATTGTGATTTTTTCATATAACCCAAAAAATAACGAAAAATATTATTTTCTCGAAAACGGCTAGAACGATTTTGATACAAATTTTGTATGTTGTAGTCCTTTAAATTCTGAACAAAACAATTCCCATTTATGTACAAATTATGGTTCAAAGAGTATAATAACTTTTATTTATTTATAAATTGCAGCTCTTTATGTGAAAACTTTGGTACCCTATAACTTACTTTAAAATGCATTTATCTTTATTCTGATTACATTTTGCATTCCTTATCAGCTGAGCTTTAATTTGATATGCAATACTACAACAATGTCCCAAAAACAAACATTTGAAAAATATTTTCAAAAAATTCTTCCAGGTTTCGAGGTTTCCATGTTTAGCCATTATAATTGTTTTCAGTGCCGATTGTGTCTCCTTAGACTTTGTGACACAACATGTTTAACGATAAACATAGGTTTTATATGGGGAAAACAGTTGATAGCTCGAAAACTGAAAGAGTTAGTAACTGGTACGGATAAAGTCCAAATTTGAAAGTTGATGGAATTTACTTACCTTAATGATATACTATTAACAGGTCTAAAAATGTAATCTAAATTCTAAAAATATCATAAATTAGATAGAGCTTAGTAAGAAGTTCCAAAAATTAGTCGACAATTTTGAAAAAGTTAAGTTGATATTTTTAACGTATTTTAGGATATTTTTTGAATTTATGTGCAATTTCGAGACTAATTTATTCTTTGCATTTCCTCCCTAAACTTACTCGTTTAGGAGATACAGGATGCAGAATGTACAGAAAAGCCACTTTCCCCCAAATGTAACACACTGTAGCTCCTAAGCAAGTAGCTTTAGAGAAAAATTTACAAAATAAAAGTTTTAAAACTACACCAAATTCTAAAAACACCATAAATATGAGGGTTCCAATATGAAATTTTAAAGTTAGCCACAATTTTGGAAAATGGTTCCCCAATTAATGTTTTCTCAAAATCTAATAGTTTCTGAGATACCAATGGTAGCAAAGTTAAGTTGTTCACTCTGTATATAAATCCTGTTCTCTAATACGAGCTATGTGTGTTTGCCTGTCTCTAATATTTTTCTAAGTGAATATACAGAGATATCCTTTTAGTGGTCGGGCAATCTTAGCAGGAAGTTTCATTTTCTGATTTTGAAGTTTTTAAATGTCCCCAAAAATGGGGGATTTTAGGGGCAACTCAACATTTTTTAATGTAAACTCCCTTCAATTGACACCTCATTTTAAAGTGTTTACAACAACTTACAAAATGGTGAAAATCAGAGTTTGCTATTTCATCTCTATCCAAAATGGCAGCCCGTCAAATGTTATGAAAAATTAATGGTATTATTGGTTCCTAATTTTAATATTGGCTACCATTTTTGGACAGAGGAGAGATAGCGAACTCTGGTTTTCACCATTCTTTAAGTTTTTGTAAACACTTCAAAATGAGGTGTCACTTGAAGGGGGTTTACATTTGAAATTTTTGAGTTGCCCTCTAAATCCCCCTTTTTGGGGGACACTCAAAAATTTTAAAATCATAAAATGAACTTTCTGCTAAGATTGCAAGACCATCAAAATGATATCTCTGTATATTTACATATAAAAATATTAGAAGGGGGAGGGGTGTTGACTTTTTATTCAACGTGTATATCTCGAAATCCAGCAGAAGGATTTCGACTAAACTTTGGAATTAGGGACCAACCCAAATCCATAACCTAAAAATAGTTTAAATCTTTTTAAATGCAGATTGTACCAAAACCAGAGGTTCACTAGTTCATATCCCACAATTGTTTTCCAAAATCCAAAAATACCTCCACCGCAGCAAACCTGTAGACTAAGTGAATTTCCATTTACCTGGCTGGATTTATACTAAAATATACCCTGAAAATTGTCAGATTTATTTCCTATTATTTTAAATTACATTAATTTTAATGAGTACCTAGTTTTGCTGCTACAGGAAAGGTATTGAGGTGTGTTTTTATTGAAAAGTTTGTAGCATAGTATGAAATAAACAAAATTGCCAAATTTGATAAAAATATATCCATAAACAAGAAAACTGCAATAGGTAGTTTATTTATTCTCCGTAAGAATAACATGATAGTTTTAAATTTAAAGTTTTTTAAATTATCTCCGTTAGGCATACAACAACACTTCAATATACAAAATTATATCTTATTTTAAGCTCTACAAAATGGTCTGGAAAGAAATTGAGAAATTTTATGTTTTTAGAGTCAATAATGGGGAAAAAACTATTTTTACGCCCATAAAACCCCCCATTAACCCCGTTCCCATAGTCCGATCATGCTGGTTAGCGAACTCGTTCGAATAAACGCAGGTTTACACGTTTCTACCAAATTTCATAGGCCTAAATCGGATCATTTTTGCTCAAGTTATCGTGCTTAACGGGCATATATCTTATCTTACTAATGTTATAAATGTGAAAGTTTGTGTGTTTTTTTGTTTAAAGTTCAATCACGCATTAACTACTGGACGGATTGGGCTGAAATTTGGCATGATTATAGCTAACATCCACGATTAACATATAGGCATATTCTTATCTCAAAAATCCTCCGCCCCAGTGGCTCTGTGGTTCCCCATGTTAACCTTATGACTATTCATATTTAAAGGGAATAAAAGAATTTAGTCAGCTGTTTCAACTAAAGGTAACACAGTACTCAAATATACATTTTTTATTTTTTTTATTATTTAGTTTTGTAGAACAGACTTTTCTGAACACGTAGATAATAAAAATTAAGGAAGAAAAAAAATATTTTTAAAATTTTCAGCTACTTTTATAAACTATTGCAGCCTAATTTAGCATGTCCAAGGTCCTACTACTACAGTAATCAAGACGCAGAGGGTACGCTGTCAAATATTAAATTTTTTTAAAAATTTTTTATTATTTAGTTTTGTATAACACACTTTCCTGAACACGTACATACCAAATATTATGGAAGAAAAAATTATTTTAAGCTATACAGCGACTTTTATACACTCTTACTTTAGCATGCCTAAGGGTCCTACTAATACCCTTGACAGGGGGTACTTTTTTCGTTTTTCGAAAGTCAAGTGGTTTTTAGTCAGGTACACTTTTCTTCCTCAATTATAATCCAATTTCAATAAAAATTGGTGTGTGTGTTCCTCATATGATACGAATCAGTTTCCATGACAACGAAAATGACCGATTAAAACCCAAAAATTGCATAGGCAGTTAAATGTTAAAAAAATTAAATTGAATGTTTCTAGGACTACTTACCGACAGCATCACAAAGTGCGAACGTCTGTAAAAGAATAGCATAACCATTGTAATAAGTAATATAATATTTCAATTTGTTAAAGTTTTTGTTCATAAACAGTTTACAGCATTACACTGCAAAACGTATATATTGGAGTTTCAAAAATAAAGCTGAAATAATAATCTCCGCACTTTATTAGGTGACTTAAAATTTAGATGTTTATAACAAATTTAACTATTTTTAAAGTCAGCATTTAATCTTCATAGGTGACTTTTATGAAGATATGTTATGTTCGTGTGATCAGTGAAAAAATCAAATCAAAATAAAATTGGCAGTTCTTAAGTATTGCTAGATCAAACGGGATATAATAACAGACTAAACCATGTTTTAAACAATAAATAATTTATGGTTTTATAAATAATTATGTTAAATCATTCAAAAATACGCTTATAATTACACAATAAAATAACATCAAACTTAATCTTTGGACTACATATAGTGTGTTATCGTTTAGTTAGAATAAATAAAAAAATATAAACTTACGGACGAAATCAGTAAGATCGGTAAGATATTCATTTTTAGCAAGTGTAGTCAGAAGCAACGTCCCTGTAAGAGAAGTCTACCAGCTACTGAAACAGCACTTATACTGAAAGGGCCAACTACTCAACAATTAATTTTCCTCAATTATCTCTGTGAATCTATCGGTGACACTCTTCTGCCTAATTATTTATCTGCGTTACTTCAGCCATATTTCTTTCTGCGTCACATTTTGCTAATATGTGGCACCAGCGTCACGATTAACCAACTGTAAAATTTTATGCTCTAGAATATTCCTTACTTCAAAATTCTGTTCTTTTAACATTTTCAATATCGTGGTTTTATAATCCAAGACTTATTGCTGGACAATTAATAATATGTTTTTCAAATGTGTCATTCCATGCTAAATCAACTAATTTTACCATATGCATTAACGGTTGACCTACAATATTTGGATGAATTTTTTGTCAAAGGTTGTACACACCAACACTAGTTTAAATCTAAATTGTAAAATTATTATAACTTTTGGTTTTTTAGTTTTGATGAGTTGAAAACCTCAAAAATTGTCATTCTAAGCCGAAATGTTTGTTTAAAAAATTCCGTAACTGAAAAAACCTTAGGGATACGTCATAGACGGCTAAAACTTTCACCTTTTTGGTTTATTTTAAAATTGCCTCATATTTTATATACATATAATGACTTTGTTATGAAGTTCACAACATGTTGGAACATTCCCGAAGTACGTACACATGATTTTTTTTACAGTGTGTTAAAAAAAGTTGGGGATATATTTTCAGTAGCGATTCCTTGACATTTCAAATCTCGTTCCTATCAATCTGTAGTGTTTTTTTACAACAACATTACTAATAAATAGTCCAGTCAATGAATGATCCAAAAGTGGGTGTAGAGTGCGTGAGCAGGTAACTAAGCAATTCCTTCAGTATTGTTCAGGGGGCTTAGGGTGTTAACATACCAAAAGTCCTGACTCCTAGGTGTTGAGCCAGGGTTGGTGGAGTTGTGAAGGGGGGGGGGGGTAAAGGTACGCATTTTGGGTTTTCGATTATACCTCGAAAACTATCAACTTTTGTATACAATACTAAATTATAACATTGAAGAAGATTAAATTTCCATCATGAAAAGTATATTAATTAAAAACAGAAACAAGAAAATCAATCATTCAATTTTGAACCATGCCCTCGTGCCTGCACCCAGACTAACGAAATGGAAGCGTGATCCATGCGCAGGCCCGAGGAGCGGCTCACAAAACTTTACTTAACAAAATTAGAACCATGGATGGAGGTTCAAGAACAACACGCCATTTGAGAGAAACAAGCTGTAATAAACCATTTAAATGCACAACAACAATAATCAACAATAATACATGAATTACTCTCAAGAAAACTTTAAAGGATTTAGTCATCCATCTAAGCTGCTGACTTACAGTCATTTCTTTTATTATTCGAAATAGGCTAAAAAGACCTTACTAACTTTTACCTTAAAAATTATTTTAAATTAACAATATATAACAATAAATATAAATATGTCTTCTTAATACTGTATTTAGAACTGGGTAACAATAGAAAATTTAGGGGCCCCAAAAATCAGAAGGAATTTAAGAGAAAATCTAATAAGATTATAAAATTAAAAAAAAGTCAACAAGTAGGCTAAAGAATTTAAAATTTAAATGGAATAACAATTAATAGAGATCTGTGCACAAATTAACAAAATAACAATTAAAATCTCTCAGTCCATGGCGGTAACAATAAATTAGGCCTAAGTAACTTGCGGTAGGCCGTATTCAGTTCAATGGTTCTGGGCGAGCAGCACCGGAGGGGGAAACGAGCATGACGGAAGAGGGGGGCCATGATCCAGGGGTGGCCAAGAGTAGTAGAATCCACTCCGTCAATGCTGATGCGGACTGCTACATGTTCCTCCTCACGGGCCCCAAAAGGCGCGCGTGGCACGATACATTTTATTCCATGGTCGACGTTAGTATCCTCTTGAAGAAAATAAGGCAAGAAACAAAGAAAACATGCCACCAAAATTAAGATGGAACAGGATAACAAAATATGCCGACCAAAGTCGGGGAACGCCACACAACCTAAGGTTGGCGGTGGGAGTAAGAAAAACAAGACACACAGCCTTGTTCGGGGTCGTGGGAAGTAACAAACGAACACACTAAACTAACCTACTATAAAAAAACACTTGAACCATTGAATATGAGTCGTGACATTCGCCCGGTGGAATTAGTCACGGCTCAACCAATAGCTCAAGCCGGCTAAAATCGGCCAGGGGGTAAAATTCCGGGGGGTAAAAATCCGGGGGTAAAATCCGGCCCATACATCTTCAGTTGTCTAAACGCTAGTTATATGGACAGGGGGTAAAATTCCGGGTTTTATCGCTAATATAATTAATCACGCTCTGGCTATTTTCATTAGACTTCCAAATCCGCGGGGGTAAAATTCCGGCCGCGAACAAACTTTTTTGCCACTCAGGTTACTACGTCATAGTATTGTCAGCTTTGCCCAGGAGGTAAAATGCCAGGGGGATAAAATTCCGGCGACCCTAAAAAAGTATAAAGTTAGTGAGGCACTCTTCAAAACGTTTGGTCAGAATTTGATTTTAGAATAGACGTCTGCAAAGCAAGCTGTGGTTCACGTATTGAACACTTGTAGTACCTATATAGAAAAATATTGAGGTATTTATCTATCTATTGGTGTATGTTACTCTTTGTAAAACTTTGCAGTTATTTTCAAACAAAGTTGTTTATTTCTTTTTTGTACACCCGGTATTGCTGTTTAATTTTTCTTTTTGATAGTCATTCTTACCCAATGCAAGTAGTTAGGGCAGTTACCTTGGGTCTGACATGGGCTCTTATGGGGAATAGATTTGAGTAGGAGTTTGCCTGGCCGCTACATACGACAGATAGATGATTTATTCAAGCCTAATAAACAGGCTGACTGACGGAGTCATTAGTCTAAGATAAGAGAGCATTACAACTTTCAGTGATAGAAAACCTTTTGTACCAATGACAGAAACTTATCACTCCAACAAAGAGCTAAAAAATAGCGCTCTAGGGACAACTGCATTGCTACATCGAGAGACTGAAGATATGATTGTATGACTGTGTCATCCAACAATTTATCGGCGATCATAGTATTTTGCTGCTTAACTAATTTTTCAAGCTCTTCAAGTTTCAACGTTAGATCTTTTAAGCTTTTAAAGCATCGTTCATTTTGCTAGTGATGTTTTTCATTTTGTCATTATCTTTCACAATAAACGAGGTTTTGTTTACACTTTTAGATGGAACTCTTTCAATGAATTTTTTTCTCGCTTGATTTCATCAAGAGCAGATTGTAGATCAAGAGTGGTTGCTAATACCTATTTTGTATGACTTTGAGTACTTCTTTGCCTCATTTTAATCCACTTGCTAGGGGGGTTCCCGTGTGCATTTTATGTATAGAAAAACACCCTAAGGGATCATGTAGGTACTATGTGGGTTATCATTTTTCACGTGGGTGCCAGCTTGGCAGAGTGGGCATAACCTCAGAATCCACCATTTTAAAAATGGCGGCGGCATTTATTACATGAAACTCATTGGGAGCTTATATCTCGAAAACGGTAATATATAGCGAGTTACTTTTAATACAAAAAATGTTGCTTATACAATAAGGAACAACTTTTGTATTAACAAAAATGCCCTAAATATAACTATTTAGGAGTAGTTGAGCAATTTATGTTAATTTGACCTATACATTTTTACTCTGTTAGACAACAAAATTCTAATATCTAAAAAAAAACTGTGTTTTAAATTTGGCACATAGCACTAATTGCTCTTTACATCTAAGGTCTAAACATCCCCGTCGCAGCAAACCTGCAGAATCAGCATACATTTACCTGGCTGCATTTCTACTAAAATATTAAAATTGACGGATTGATTTCCTATTTAAATGACATTGATTTGTAATGAGTACTTAAGTTTGTTGCTTCAGGGAAGGTATTGAGGTGTTTTTTATATATTTTTATTGAAATAATGATAGCTTAGTATGAATGAAACAAAATTTTGAAATTTGACTATAATATATCCATAAACAAGCAAACTAAAACAGTTTATTTATTCTTGATAAGAATAACATGGGAGTTTTAAATTTAATTTTTTTTTAATTATCTCCGTAACCTTTGGGCATACAACGCTTCAATATACAAAGTTATTTCTTTTTTGAGGTCTACAAAATGGTTTCGTTCATTATAAAATTTCATGTTTTTAGGGTTGAAAATCGGAAAAATCCATTTTTACCCCATAAAACTCCCCATAAACCCCCGTTCCCATAATCCGATCGTGCTGGTTTAATAGTCCGAATTCGTCTGAAAACGTAGGTTTACACGTTTGTGATAAATTTCATTAAAATTGGATCATTTTTGCTCGAGTTATCAAATGAAGTCGTAGTTCTGTCTTTGGATACAGATGTCGTAGTGTTGGCTTTACACTTTATGAATGGATTCTCTTCGGAAGGTTTGCAGGAATTGTGGATGCGACTTGGTACAGCCAGAACTTCATGATATGTACTAGTTCACATTATAGCAAACAGGCTTGGAAGTAACCTTTGCTCAGTTCTCCCAGCACTCCATATTTTAACGGGCTGTGACTTTGCCAGCAAATTTGGAACAAAGTATGCTACCCTAAAATGTAATCCAAGTACTTTGCTAATGGACTTTGGAAAAGATGGGGAGGAAGAGATAGAATAAAGTTTGAAAAACACAGTGAAGTATCAGTGTGGGATACTCAGTGTGAAACTATGAATGATCTAAGACACTGGATATAAGTACACTGTCACTGTACAACGAATACTCTTAAAGAACTGCATCCTTTGCTCGTGAAGAAATTCTGTCTGGTAGAGCTACTAGACAGCCTATCTTACGTGCTTTTTACTGTACATACATCCAAATCCATTGCATGGAAGAACACGTTTTTCAACTCGATCCTTTGAGTTTTGGACACAGTGATGGTGGTTACTCTTTGCCGCAATGCTCACAAGTATATTGTGAACAGTTTCATTTTTCTGATGACTATAAAAGGGAACAGATCTTATTCCTCTAACTCAAAAGACTTATAATTTAGATCCAATAACTGCGCTCAAATTTTATGATCCACGAAACTAGTTCAATATCAATACAATCAGTCCAAAGCAGCCTACCACCAAGGACAATGTCAAGGTACTGGTTGTGTTAACGAGACGTCAATGCTTGGCCGATGCACCAACTTTGCCGCCGGTCCCGTTCCCGCTCCATCGCCGTTTTAATAATAAATGTTATGAATTATAATAATCATTTCTATTACATCCGAAGATGTATTATTATTTGTAATAATACAAATGCATTATATAGAAAGGATTATATTTATTTTTATATTTGTATGCGTCATTTAATAACAAAAAAATAATTTAAAAATATTTCATATTATTTTAATAACTTACATATCTGCCAGAAGCTTCTCGAATGCTTTTTGCAGGTTTTTTTACCTTAAATGCGAAGAAAAATTTGTACTATGTGCCAAATTACAAAATAACAGATTTTTTATAATTATTAGATTTTTATTGGCAACAGAAATGCAGCCAGGTAAATGTTTGCTTAGTCTGCAGGTTTGATTCGGTGGGGGTATTTAGACCTTAGATGTAAAGAACAATTAGTGCTATGTGCCAAATTTAAAAAAAACGGGTTTTTTAAGATATTAGAGTTTTTTGTCAAACAGAGTAAAAATGTATAGGTCAAATTAACATAAATTGCTCAACTACTCCTAAATAGTTATATTTAGGGCATTTTTGTTAATACAAAAGTTGTTCCTTATTGTGTAAGCAACATTTTTTGTATTAAAAGTAACTCGCTATATATTACCGTTTTCGAGATATAAGCTCCCAATGAGTTTCATGTAATAAATGCCGCCGCCATTTTTAAAATGGTGGATTCTGAGGTTATGCCCACTCTGCCAAGCTGGCACCCACGTGAAAAATGATAACCCACATAGTACCTACATGATCCCTTAGGGTGTTTTTCTATACATAAAATGCACACGGGAACCCCCCTAGCAAGTGGATTAATTTGCCCCAAATACTGTATCCTGAAGATGAAATGACTCATTTAGCTTTGCTCGCTTGTCCTTTTTGAAGTTATTGTTGAATTAAGTCTGTTCTTTTATCATATGATTTATTTGTGTTTAAATATGTTTTGTTGTCAGATGATTTTTGTAAACATGTTTTTGTAAACATCGGTTTAGTTTGGAAATAGAGTTTGTTGAAGCAATATGTGTGAATAATATTCTTGTATAAGAAATAGAACATGGTGGCAGCTTAGTGGATTTTTTATCGAACAAAGTTTAAAACCACGCATGATGTCAAGTAAGGGCAGAAAAAACGAAATACTCGTAGGCAAAGGTATGAGGACAACGAGGAG